ACCAAGTCAGGCTATTAAAGACTGGCTCCCTCTGGAGTTGGTAGCAGTCTTAAGGTTTATAAAGGGAATTGTTGAATTCTGCTATAAATTGTTCGAACAAGCAGACAAAAAGTCTCTCTTTGGTACAATGAGAAAAATTAGGAAGGGACTATCAGTGTTAAAGTCATTCTTTTGAAAGTATGCAAATAGCAAAATGATAAAATGCAGTTTTTTTTATTTTCAAAAAAAAGTTTTTTTTATTGTTTTTATCTCAGCCTACATATCACATCTAGCAATGCAAGTATATACAGCTCACACTTTTCTCTGAGTCATATGGGCTCTTTGAAGATCCTCAGGTCTGAAGAATGATTATGTAAATCTCTGTTTTATTGTCTTCTTTTTCTTTTTAAAAATTTATTTATTTTTAAATTAATTACAGTTTATTCACTTTGCATCCTAGCTATAGCCCCCTCGCTTGTCCCTTCCAATCTCACCCTCCCTCTCTTAACTTCTCTCTGCCCCTCTCCAAGTCCACTGATAGGGGAGGTCCTCCTCCTCTGCCCTCTGACCCTAGCCTAACAGGTCTCACCAGGACTGGCTGCACTGTCTTCCCCTGTGGTCCGGTATAAATATGTTTATATGCATTCCTTCTTACCATGAGCAGTTTAACTACCACAACCAATTATGAAACTTTCCACAACATACTATCCAAATATTTATTGAATTTTTTGTTACACTTTATCTCTGAGAATCATATGTGTTATGATTTTCCCACATTTATATTTTATAACATAAAATATAACCCTATGCCAATTATCCACACAGGTGAAGTTTTTGCTAAGATAATTTTTGTGTGTTTTAAAAAGGCATTACCAGAAGAAAAAAATAAATCAATGATCATAATTAGAATTCTCAGAGCAAGAGTAGTGAACCAAACTCCAAGAGCCTACTTTAGTTCTTTAAAGCACACAGCACACAGCCAATTTTCAATGGCCCTGAGAATCAGTCTTCCTCACCACATGACAATGAAAGAAATAGGGATGAAAACCAATGAAATTCTTTTTTGTCTTCCAAAGATTCCAGTACCACTGAGGTAGGAAATATTCCCATGTATCCTCTGAATGTTTATCATTGTGCCTTTTAAAGCAGATCTTAGAAGGTTATGGTCCCTTTTCTGATTTCTCTCTCATTCTCATTGCTTGTTCAATCAAAAAGAAATCCATTTGGAGGGATTTTTCTTTTTTTATTGACATAGCACTATGCTTAGCAATTGAGAGAAAAAAATTGATGCAATCTTGACAAGTATCAAGGAAAGAATAATGCAAACTGTGTAATTGGATACATGTCCAGAAAACGAGTGTGAGGAAAGAGAAGAGGATGACACATAGTTTCGGGTCACACTTCCCATAGCTCACTTAACAAGGATACCTTAAAAATGGAAGGCAGAGTACTACTTCCAGTTTACTGTCAAGAAAGCTACATTCCAAAAGAGAGCTGCAATAGTCAGACAAATTTGATCCTACCAGTTTCTGCTTCCTAATCTAAGAACTAAACCACTAACCTACAAACCTTATTTGTTTCGAATATAATAATTGGCTTCAATGATGAGATTTACTCTGGACCAGAAAGGACTTACAGGTGTGTAAAAACAAGAAAAGAATTCCACAGTAACAAGGCACACATGGAGGACAGTGCATGACTTCTTGAGATGAGACAGATAATAGCTAAAGCTCAAAGCACTCATTTGATGGCTAGCACTATGATAACTGCTTCCTAAACATGAATTTATTGCCCCCTCACAATGACATGTTCATTTGAGATATTGTTGTCATTCTTATTGTGTAAATGTGGAAAGTAAGGCTCAGAGATATTAAGTACCTAGTCCAAATTCAAATACCTAGTAAATACCTAGCAGAGACAGCCTGAGTGACCTTGCATCCAAGCCTATGTGTCTACATTTCCCTGGACACAGACCTGCCTATCTGGAGTTTGATTATAAAATGCAAGAGCGAGACTGACATTCAACCAAGGACCATGTATGAATATAACCTAGAACCTCTGCTCGGATGTAGCCCGTGGTAGCTCAGTAGCCAATTGGTTTCCCATAGTAAGGGGAACAAGGACTATTTCTAACAGGAACTCAATGGCTGGCTCTTTAACCTTCCCACCCCCCAAGGGAGGAGCAGTCCTGTTAGGCCACAGAGGAGGACTTTGCAGCCAGTCCTGAAGATACCTGATAAAACAGGATCAGATGAATGGGGAGGAGATCCCCCCCATCAGTGGACTTGGAAAGGGGCATGGTGGAGATGAGGGAGGGAGGGTGGGAGTGGGAGGGAATGAGGGAGCGGGATACAGCTGGGATACAGAGTTAATAAAATGTAACTGATAAGAAAAAATAAAATTAAAAAAAAATGCAAGAGCAGAGACAGGGCCAGGCAATTATTGATTGTTGTACAATGTAACTAAAGTCATGATGAAAAAGTCCATCACCACCTAACCTTTCTTGCCCTTGGGGGATATCATCATCATCATCTTTATCATCATTATCATTATTATTTACTTTTATCATGGGAAGGATAACCTAACCTCCCAAAGAGCTTCTAAAAGATAACTCTGGAGCAAAAAGAAGTGTGGGTCTGGGGAGTCAAATTCTCAAGGCACTTTTGTATTATCAAGAACAGATGTACAAGTAACCAAATATATGCATAACATACACAAAATCATACATATTACATATACATATGTATGCAAAACACATACAACAGACATGTACAAGTGACACAGATCACATATCTCATATAAAAATACAAACCTATACACATGTAAGATATATATCTCACAGTACATTTGTAAGCATACCACATACATTTATACTCCCATACAGATATGTACATGCACATTCCATCAAACCACACAATTCATTAGATACCACATACCTAGGCCGCTCTATAAATACAAATATACATATAAACCAAACACACACAAACAGTTCCATGTACATTTACCTCTCACATGCCTTCACACACACACACACACAAACGAAGAATATTCAAAGAGAGTAAATATGCACACATATTTACATGTGTATAGAATACTTTCGGCATATATATTCCATATATACACATAGAATACATTCCATATATATGTATACGTGCTTGTATCCGTTCTCAAACTTTGAATGAGAGGTACAGACTGACCCAAAAGACATGATCATTTAAATGTATTCATATGGTTTGCTTTCTGCCTCCCTGTCACACAGAAAGTACTGTCCAGAATTCTCAGCCTTCAGAAGAACGCTTCTCACCATCACCTTTTACACTATGGTCTGATGTTAGAAGGTATAGACTCATATTGATTTTTGTTAAGCTAGAAACGATGTCAGGCAAGCTGCTTAGATGTGAGGCGAGCATTGTCAATTATGTCCTAAATTAAGCAGTATGTTTTGGTTTCCTTGCTTTCATCCAGCTTCCTTCCAGAAATCATTTATTTTAAATAGGGACAATGGCAGCCTTCTGACCATGTTGGACAACTCCAAGACAAAGAATCTAGTAGAACTACGTGGAGACATTAAGTAGACTTCATCTTTAATTTTATACATTACTTTGTATAATAAATGTAGAACCATAATATTTACTATTTGTAATAATAATATGTCTCTATCTAAACAACATGAAAGTATTTATTCTTGAGTCTAAATGACTGCCACCTCGATGGTTAATTATACCCAAAGTGTGGTTTGTGTTCGTAAATTTTTTTTAAGGCTTCAGGAAATTCTGGAAAGCAAAACCACAGTTCTGAGCTAACACGGTTTAAGTTTCACTGAGGGACCGCGAAAACTGCATCCTGTGAAACACACACGGGGTATTTACAGGAAATGTGCTCCGAGACACTGAGCCTGTTTGGTCTGAATGGAAGATCACATTTTCATATTTTAAGGTCAAATTACATCAGCTTCTTTCCAGTAAAAAAAAAAAAAAAAAAAAAGCATCATCCTAGAATGCTAATATCTTTAAAGCCTCAGCGCCTCACTATTGTGATCTCTCAGGATAATTCACAGAGGATGAGACTGATGAGCTGCGGTAGTCATTTAATACCCGAGTTGTGCTGAGAAGAAAGGATTTCCAGGATAAACCATTTGCAGGAGAAATTCAATCTACAGCCTTTATTTTCAGAACATACATTTAGAGTAGAAAAAAGAAACCTCCAACATACACAAATATATATGCTCCTGTCTTTTATCTAGTTCAGATCATAGGGCTAATTTAGAACTTTGGCCTTTATGATTAAATAAAATCATCTCAATGAAAGAAATGACCAAAGTGATTTATCTTAGTACTCTCTTTCCATACTTCTTTCCCTCCCCAGTGAGGACTTTGCGGGATTGTTATGTTCACAGAACCACATACAGAACGTATTCAACAATCATTTCCTGAGTCCCGCTCTGCCAGGTAATGGATGATACACAACACCACAGGAGCGCTCATGTTTGTGCTCGGTGTGCCTGAAATCCAGATGGAGAGATAAGGTACTTATGGGACTGTCTAAGACGAAAAATCACAGAGGAAGGATCAGGGCGGTGCCCGTGGTTTCAAGAACACGAGCTGGAGTTTAAAAGGTTCTTGCTAATCCAACAACAGGAAATGAAATTCCCATTACAGGGACCTAAGCTTGAATTCTGTTGAGGAACGTTTTGGCTGCTGCAGCAGATGTTTGAGATCCCATGCTAGAAAAGCCAAGTGTTAACGATTACAGGTGGTTATCACAGCAAATTGACAAACAACAATAACCAAAAAAACCCAAAACAAAACAAAACAAAAATCTATGAAAACCTGAGTGGCTTCTGCATGGTTTGCTGGCGTATTTTCAAACTGAAAAAGGTTGCTCATAAATTATCTTTCAAGTCGATTTCCCTTTTCTCTGTGTGTGGGGAAATGCTTTAATGCACATCCACACCACCTTGGGAGCACTGGCAGCTGGCCTCATTTGTGGAAAACAGGTTAGGTTATTGCTCAAGGACGTACCTTAGTGAAAGATGTTTCCACCCCAGCAAAACTTCCGTGAACTCACAAATCTTCTGGTGAATTGGGGACAGCAGAGCAACTATCAAAGCAAGCCAGAGGATTTGAGTCACTAGGGAGTTTTCCTTGTGGAGTTGTACAGACGACTCTTTAGGAGTTCTCCAGGTACATTCTGACCACTCATCTTCCTTCATTCTGCTGGCACGTGCAACCTGAGCCTCCTACACAAAACCACATCCATATCTGTCACGAGAAAGAGTCAAACTGGATGAGAGGCTGCTCTCCCGCCCACACCTGTGGGGAAGGTCTCACCACTGTTAATATACCTGCTGAAGACAGGGCAGCCTAGATCTATAGGTTAAGTAAATGCTGTATCAAAATTACCACCCTACGGGGGAAATAGCAGTATGTGCCATTTTCAGAACACCTATCATGCTCTCCTTTTTTTCTAATCCTGGAGAATTAACTATTGCTACTTTTTTTCACAGACTTCAAAAGGCAAAATAACCCGCCCAAGGCCATACATACAGCAAGAGGCAAGACTTTCAGATCTTGTATCATTGTTTTCCTCTGCTCTGGGCTTGGAAACAGCCCACAAGAGAATTACAATTTTCAATTTAAGCAACATAAAAACACGGTGATCGACTAGGTAGTAACTGTACTGAGGTAATACAGAAAGACACTGATAAAAAGCAAAAGCTCTTTGAAAGTCTAGCTGATAATATTTTGTGTGAGAAGAGGAGAAGGAAGGAATCCAGAGGACACCTTGTATCTTAGTTTAAATAATACAGCACGGTACCCAGAATGGACAGTAATATAGAGCATTGCTACTTCTAAGATAGTAATTCCACAGGCATGAAAACTCTCTCAGAACCTCAGTATGGAAGTTGATTATTTTTCCAGCCTTGCACAGAACCTTCTAGAGTGTACTAAATGAAAATCTGAACCCAATCATATCATAAACCCATGTATTTCCTTGGTGAGCAGTTAGTCTAAAAGTCAGTGATTTCAAGTAAAACATTTAAAAACTACTATGCTATCCTTAAGAAAATAAATGTTACTCAAAAACTACTAAAATTTCATGTCCTCAAAATGGAATGAATAGAAATGAAAGGTAAGAAGATTTTTTCTTACATAATATTAATCTTACTCTGCTCCATTTGCAATTTGAATGTAATACAACCTAGATTATGCAAACTTCCCAGCATTTTACTCAAAACATCATGTCATTCTTTTAATTTTTTTTCCTTTTTCATTCCTCCCTGTGGAGGCATTGCTTTCAGAGTAACATAGGTATTGAGATTTGCAGTAGTTAGTGTTAATTGTCAACTTGGAAGAACCTAAAATCTTAGACATTGGTCTCTAGGCATACCTGTGGGAGATTATCTTGATTACAATAATTGAAGTGGGAATAACCACACACTGTGGGTGGAATCATCCCCTAGCTGGAATCCTAGATTACATAAAAGGATGAAATGAATTGAGTAGCTGCAAGCATTTGTCATTCTCTGCTGCTGCTGCTGCTGCTGCTGCTTTCCCTTTCTGATTATTTTGTTTTTAATTATAGATGTGTGTATGTGGTGAGGGGATATGGGCACATGTCCACTGAGCCCAGATGAGGGGTAGCAGAAGTCCTGGCACTGGAGTTATAGTTGTGAGCCCTCTGATGTGGGTGCAGGAAGCCAAACACTGATCAAGAACAGCTTGTGTTCTTGATCATGGAGTCATCTCTCCAGCTCCTTCCTGCTTCTTGACTACAGATGCTTTGGATCTGCTCCCCCAGGCTCCTATCCCCACAGCTTCCTTCTTTTCATGGACGTTAACCAGGCACTGTGATCCAAATAAGCCCTTCCTCCCTTCAGTTTCTTTTCTCTGGGTGTTTTATCACAGCAAAAGGAAGGATGCGATAGCAAAGGAAAGAAAGCAACTTGCTCATTAATTCATTTAGAGAGTTCCTGGGTATCTACTTTATGTTCCTGGAGGACACTGTCAACAAGTTAACAATCCTCGCCCTTGTGAAAATCCTGTTCCAGTGAGGGGAAAGATGGCTATTAAACAGTGGGAATGAATAAAAATAGAGATTATAAGCTACTGAGATGAAATTTTAAATGTAGTGATTATTTAACACGAGTACTCCTATAATCTAAAGAGTGGCTGAGGATTTTCTGGAATTTCTGTAGTGAGCTACTACCCACTAGGTGTCTTAAATAGCAGAAAGGCATTGTCTTAGTGTTCTGGAGGTCAGAGTCCTACAGAGCTCCTGAGGATTCTGAGGCATCTTTGCTATTGCCCTTCCTACTTTTCCCTTCTCCCCATATTCTAACAGTCTGGAGTTTTCTCTGTTTGTAGGTAGTGTTTTCCCATGTCCAAATTTCCTTTTTGTTGTTGTTTCTTTTCTTTTTCTTTTTGGCAGCAGAACAGCTATATTTTTTTTTTATTCTAAGTTTGAACTTTTCTATTAGCTTCAGTATACTTTTTTCTTTATTATTATTATTTATTACAATTTATTCACTTTGTATCTCTGCTGTAGCCTCCTCCGTCATCTCCTTCCAGTTCCAACCTCCCTTCCTCTATTTAGTTCACTTATTTTATAAGTGTTTTGCTTATGTGTATGTATGTGTACAATGTGGGTTCCTGGTGCCCCCAGAAGTCAGAAGAGGATGTCAGAGCTCCTACAGATGGAGTTACAGATGGCTGTGCATCACCAAATGGGTGCTAGGGATTGGACCCACGTCCCTTGCAAGAGCAACAAATGCTTTTAGCCACTGAGCCATCTCTTCAACCCTTAAATGTCCTCTTTTTGTAAGGTCATAGGAAAATTACTCTCCTTTCCCCGTGACTTCATCTTAGCTTGATCATCATAAAGGCCATTTTGCCAGATAAGATCACATTCATAGATGATAGTGATTCGGACTTCAGCATCTATTGAGGAGCCACAAGTCAACCCATAATAAAAATGGAGTATAAAAATGCTGTAAAACAATTAAAAGTCCTGACAGTACCTTGTGGAGAAAAGAATCATTAAAAGGGTTGATTGTTCTCATCAGGGAATGGTGATGATGCGTGCTTCTATATTTAATAAAGGCTAATTTCAGGCCTACAAACATCCATAATGAGCTATTTAATGTGAGCTGGGAAAAAATGTACCTATTGAACACAGATGTTGTCTTCTGCTCCTATTGGATTTGGCTATAAAATAAGACAGGAATTAGTACTCTCTAGGGACACAAGGCAACACAAAGTCACACAGGCGAAGGTCTCCTTAACCGTGCAAAACTGCATACAATGAGCTAGTACCTGGAATGGCCCAGACTCTCTGCCTTGTTCTTATTTAAAAAAATAAGAAGAGTTTCTTTCCATGAAGAAAACAGAAACTATTATCAAGCTAAATTTCCCCCTCTGCCAACAAGTTAGGGATAATGTGCATCATGTAGATCAAGCTGATCACATAAATCTCAGCTTTAAAGACAATATCTGAGCATTTCCCAGCTGAACACTCCTTTTCTGTACAAATTAAAAATGTCTAAAGGAGGGTTTATTAGAAGGAAACTATCAAAGCTTTTTATGAACATGCTTTCTCTTTTGATCTATATAATTTTCAAAAAGTGTTAGACATCTCATGATTTCTAGCACAACTGGAATTTTAAACCTAAGAATCAGAAGGAAAAATGCAAATAGAAAAGACATGATTATGAAGCAATGTCTATTTTGCCACAATTAGTCATTAAGCACAGTAAGTGAATTTCAGCAAATGGTCTACTTTATTTAGCATTTTATCAACTGAAAAGCTCTAGGAAAAAGTATTTTATATATGTATATTCCAACACAAATTTCTAATCTATAGCCACAGAAGTACAAAAAGGTGGATCTTAGGTTTCTGGCTGGTTTCAGGGAACAAAGAAAAATTGCATTTTGAATTGGTGAGATATTTTTTAACTATTATGTTTTACATGTCAATCTCCTGGCTATTAAACATTAGCTATATGAGATTTCAGCCTCACCCAAGAGAAAACATTTAAGTCACAGATGATACTTATACCTGATAACTACTTTGAATACATATAAGCCTTAGAGTAGATCAAAGGCTCTTGAAGGCATACTTGTGACTCACTGAGCCAGAACAGATCTGAAATGATTATTTATTCCTGAGACCTCCGTTCAAGTATGTAGATATTAAAATACAAAATATTGAGAGATTGTTTTTCGGGTTTTATTAAAACCCTGGTGAAAAAGTTCTGGTGCCTCCATGGAATTGAGAGAGTAACAGAGAGTAAAGTTAATGTCCTTAAGATGCCTTATTTGCAACATAATCATAACTGCCATCTAAAGACCAAAGTGCTCACAGAAAACTGTGAGCTCTCACTCTGCTAAAAACAAAACAAAACAAAAGGAAAAAAAAAGTTTTTAGTGCAGCATCTGGAGATTGCTACAGAAATCTATAACTTGTCAAAACGCAGACAAGTGATGAGGAGGTGACAAGCCTCAACTGGTGCATCTGCCCTACACCTAAGGCTCAGACAGGAAGATGGAAGATGGAGTGGAAGGTTGAAAGAGCCAGAGGACCAGGAGTCCAGTTGTAAGACAGTATCCTATATACCTGTACCTGTACCAAAACAAGTCCTGCATAATGGTTGTGCCAGCTGGTGTGCCAACCTGGCTGGTGGGAATTTCACAAAGCCTCACCCATAAATGAAGAGCTATCAACAATTCTAGAAGAAAGGTCATAAACTTGAGAGGACTTAAGAGGGACATAGGAGGATTTAGATGGGGAAGAAGGAGGGGTGGAGATGACATAGAGTATTTGTGTATGAAACTCTCGAAATATAATTAAAATTAAAGTACATAAATGAAAACAAATTCTATGGAACAGAGAAACTCAGTTTTGCTGTTTTGTTTCAAATATCTCTAAGATCAGTGGTTGTACCATCAGAGTGTCTACATAGATTTTTTTAATATTGTGGTTTGTTTGTTTGCTTGCTTGATTGTTGTTTGTTTTTTAAAGATGCATGATTTGGTGACTTAAGAAGCAATAGTAGAACAATGCAATCAGAATAGCCAGAGAGATATGGAGTTTCTCTTTCTGCCTCTGGAGGTAGGTCTATCAGGTTACTGAACTACAGAATATTCAAAAGAGGCAAAGTTAGCTTGAGTGGCTCTAACAAAATGCAACAAACTAAATAGCGTTTAAGTTTATAATAGATCTTGAGGCCTGAAGTCATAGATAAAGTTGGCTGAAGAATCACTTTTCTCTGAAAACTGTATGGAACACCCAGACTTGGATATCCCCCCTGACAAACAGATAATCACCTTTTCATTGTGCCTTAACATGGTTTTTGCTTAGTTAGTATCTCTATGTGCTCTATTCTCTTTCTATCAGAACATTAGTGAAATCAGGGCCATCACTAACAGATTCATTTAACTTAATTACTTCTTTAAAGTTCCCATCTCTGGTACAGTGATATTCTGAGATGTTGGAGGTTAGAGTTTCAACATAAGAATTTGATGATGATGATGATGATGATGGAATATAACTGCACACCAGATTGAATGGGTATGGTAGTTTGAATAAGAATGTTCTCCATAGGCTCATACACTTAAATGCTGTGTCCCAGTTGACAGAACTATTTAGGAAGGATTAGGAGTTGTGGCCTTGTTAGAGAAGGTTTGTTACTGTGGACAGGCCTTGAAGTTTCAAAGGCTCATACCATTTTCTGTATGTTCTCTTTGCCTCATACCATTAGATCAAGATGTGAGCTCTCAGCTACTGCTTTAGTGCCAGTTCTACCTGCCTGCTTCCATGCTCTTTGTGGTATCTTAGCAAGCAACAGAAATATAACTAAATAGGTGAAAATGACTAGCTAGCTTGGTGGTCATGACTCGTCATCATAAAGTGTTTCATATTCTCTCTGCTTGAAGTATAAAAGTAGACTTTGTCTACTTTTGACAGTGTAAAAGCCACAACACTGTCATCTTCCTAAGTGAAGGAATAACTAACAAAGCATGGATTGTAATGGCAGTATTAACCTCCTTCTGAGCTTCAAGATTGACAATCTCTCCCTCTCTCTTTTCTTCTCCTGAGATAAAAGCCATAGGGATTGTAAGTTAAATCTTTAGAAATCACAACCTGTATGAAATCTAGTTTCAGATTTCAAAGCTTTATACAACACAGATGAGAGATATCTGAATAGTATGTCCTTATTTGGCTATTTTTTTTTTCCTTTCTCACCAGAAAATGATGTACAGTCGTTAATTATGCAATTAAAATCTGTTGTAGAGTGAATATTCCTTATACTGGGAGAGTTCTAGAGCTTTATTTTTAGAGTTCTAGAGTCAGGAACAAGACAAGTTCTGTGATGACAAAGTCACTGCTTTTTGATTTTCTGAGAAATTTAATTCAGATGTTCTACCCATTCAAGACAAGAGAAAGGAAGTTTAATGTTATCATAAATTGGAGTTATTTCATTTTTTCCCACAGATCTATACAGAATTTACAATACTTTCTTATATAGCTGAAGGACATAGTTCTGAAAATGATTGATTTCCCATTGATTAGATTTCCCTTTGGTTTAATTTGTTTGAATTCCAAGAAAGAGCCCTCCTAGTATATGTGCCCTGGTGATAAGGATACATATACTGAAGTAATGGAGTTTTAAATTTTTACACGGCATCAAAAGTTTTTTCTTCTTTTAATTATGATCCATTTTACTAAAGTTCTCACTGACATGATTCAAATGCTCTGTTCTCCTCGTTGGTAAAAAAAAAAAAAAAAAAAAAAAAAAAAAAACAACCACATTCTGACCCATGATGCATGACTGAAAGAAGATAATATGTGTCTCTCATGTGATCTTTTGAAAATGCAGTCACAGTGTATGGACAATCCTGTACTAGAGTAAGGACTCCCTACCACATCCCTACTTTCCAAGAATTCCAAAGAAATAGGCATGCTCTAGGCATCAGAAATGTCACTCAACCTCCAGAGGAATCCCAGTTTTGGCAAAGCTCCCCCGCTTCCGCTTCTTCCCAGCTTCTTGGAATGAATGCCATTCTGATTTACCAGAGCTAATGATCCCAACCCCATGAGTACCAGGGATGGAGAGTGCAATAAGAAGCTGTGGAAAAAGATTAGGTGCTGTTTTGCAAGTCACACTCACATTCTCGGACTATCGGTTACCTAAAGAGAAAATTATTTCAACCAAAAGTTTGTTCCATTCCATGAAGCTGAAGACTCATAAACTGAGTTTTTCCTGAAAGACATCAAATCATGCACACATCCCACTCAGGAAGAGATTATCTTCAGGGATCCTTGCCTATTGCTAGGCAGTATGAAAGAAAGCAACTTGGTGCTCTCTTCTTAAAACATAGTCTTGAAGTTCTCCCTCACCTGTCCACTGGATTCCCTATGCCTGTAAATACAAACTATGGCTCTGGAGATGAAAAATCTGATACCATCAGCGCAAGTGAAGCAAAATGAGAGAGGGGAAAAAACCTACACCCATCTGGACTTCCATATGCTCTGTAGCCCAGAGGATAATATAATTCCTTGAATGTTGGTTATAAAACAATATGATATGGATAACAGCCATGCTCTGAGCTTATTTAGACAAGCGTTCTTTCTAGTCAACAAACCTTTGGAAGGATTAAAGTATAATCAGAGTTATCTGTCCAGAGTTTGACCATTCACTGTGCACATTTTCTGTTTTTACCCCAATCTGATTCCTTAGCCAATAGACCAAGTGATTCAGTGTAGAAAACTTGACAAGTAAAAAAATATTGGTAAGTTTAGCTTGATGAAGGTGCTGGATACATGAACACGCAAGCAGTTCCCACAAGATCCTTTCAAATAAATAAAAACCAGATTGTAAGTGGCCTCACGGGCTACAGGGTTGGTTCTATCATTGGATGATCAGCAAGTCTTCGAAGCAATCCAAGGATTTTTGTTTGAAAGAATAAATTTATGACAGTGTAGACAGTGAGCAAGAGTATTAAAATGATGAGAGGGAGAAAAATCCATTGAGACTGTTTCAGCGACAATGTGAAGACAAACTTCAACAATTCTAAGACTGTGGAACAGAAAGACCAGATTGAAAGTTGGAGTCAGCCTTATACAATGAGTAAACTACTCTCTTTCCTTCCAAGAAACTCAGCAGAAATCAACTCCCTACAAAATCCCTCTTCAGATGTTTGCAACTCTTTACATATGAAAAATATTTTCTCCTTTGTTCTAATGATAGTCTAGCTCATCTAGAGCTCATCATAAAACCCAGGTTTGCCTTGAACTTGTGATCTTCCCACCTCTGCCTGCCAAATGCTGGTATTACAAGCCTGTGCCACTACATCTGCATTAGGAAGAATAATATTAAGGGGACTTTTTGCATGCTTATTAAAAAGGAGGTTCTTAATATTGTGCTAAGGACTTCTTTATCTTGTAGGACAGCAGCCTTTAATACAGTAATTTTTCATCTTAACGTATACATTGCCTCTTTATTATTTTTAAATGCCAGACTTTTCTGTGTCCTAATTTATTCTTTTATGCTGGATATAAAACATGCCCTTGATTTTTGTCCCTTTTCATTTCATTTCTAATGGTGCCTCAGATTTCCACCTCTAAAAGCTCTAGTAACAGCCTTGACCACCAGCCCTATAATACATTTCATAATGAAATGAAAACTAAATGGATTTCAATGATCAAGTTTAAATGTTTCTATGTCCTCTTATACAGACATCCTTTCAAAATGAAGAGCACATGATGGCCTTTGTGCCCATTTCTCAAAGAGAGACATTTAGCAACATATTTTCTCCTAAAAATTTAACCCTCATGCTAAAATCCCACTAATGTTATCTGAAAGAATTTAAAAGACCTGTGACTCAGCAAGCAGGATTAAGAAATAAACACTATCATATAATTTACAAAAAAAAAAAAAAGTGCCATGCTAACAAAAACTCTTGAATGATCCTTAGGAAGAATAAATAATGTGTTCCAAAGACCTTCACCTATTAGAAAGGACAGGAAAAACTGGGTTGAACACTGGTTGTAGGTCAGCAAGTTCAAGATCAGCCCTCAGAAGCAGCTTCAGAAGAGCCTCAGGGTGTGATTTGAATTAGCTAGATGTACTGACCTTAGCAAAGCTGGATGTTGTGCTCAGGGCTGCACCGCTGGGCACTGAGGACGGCTGGATCTGACACATCCCAGATAGGTAGCAAGAAGCATGAGGCTTGTTTTTAAAGAATTAACAGTTTCTGAAGAATAGTGAAAACCATCTAATACATTCAGTGAAGATTCTCAAGCGGCTTCGACAGAAATTCATTTCACGGGAGAAGCAGGTATTTCTAATTTCTAGTTGCTTTTCTCTCTGTTATGAAAGTGATCAGGGGGTACAAAAGAGCTGCCTGTGTTAGGCCACACTGTGACATGGGAGAGGCAGCTTCAGAAGCCTCACCTGTCTTCATGACAGGCTGTGTGTGCTCAGCAACAGGCTCTCAGGAAGCAAACAAGCTTGTCAGCTCACCAAAGAAGCAGCAGACCGGCTGTCACTTTATTGCACAACACTTAGCTTTTAATTTTATTCTGAAGACATGAAAACAGAAGTCCAATACCAGCCCTAATTTTCCTTAAGCAGCACAATAGAAATGAGATTCTCTGAGTCACAAAATAAATGTAATCAGAGTAACAGCAAGAGACAGAACTTATATATACTATGTATATTCTCATATATTTTTTTTTATTTATATTCTTACAGACATATACACCACCACTCACTCAAGGCCAGATTTTCAATGTGCCTTCTTAATTGTGCCTACAGTCTTAAACTCTTAAACGCCAGCTTCCATTTACACCAGTATAAGCCACATTTCAAAAGCAAATTGGATACCTGCATGAACAAGCAGGCAGTTAGGCAGCTAATTACTGTTTGCAATTCAATTACCTAATTACTGTGGGCAAGTGCAGGTAGTTTGTGCAAGCAAACAGTCCCACCCACAAATATTGCTGATTTGATTAAGAAGGCTTAGGTGCAAAGATCCATGTTCACCGCTAGTGCCATAACAGGCTAAATAATTCCCCCACCATGGGCCCAGAGAAGTCCTGGTTAAACACTCTTTCAAGATTGGATTAAAGTAAAGCCCCTCTAAGTAATACCCATCAACCCCTTCTCATGCCAAGCTGCAGGCTATCTTGGAACTCCACCTTACTACCCGAAGTGTGGCCTGGGGGACCAGTAGGCAGCATTAGCCTTCTCTTGAGAGTTTGACTACAAGGCAGAATCTTGAATTCTATCCTATATGGTGGAAGGTACTCGGGTAGTACACATGGATCTTTGTGTTTGAGGAGCTTCTCCCCAGGTAGTTGCTCAAAAAATAAGGTTTTCTTGGCACAAAGTTAGATAGAGCTGTTTGTGGGAGGATTACTCTGTTTTTCTTTCAAATGGAAAGGCTAGAGGAACAGAGGAGATAACACTTCTCAGCTATAATGTGCAAACTCTATGCTTCAAGAGAAATCCCAGATAGCCTTTCAGGAACAAATCCTACAACACGAATAGTTCTTAGCATGTGCGAGGAAGTGCAGATGATACCCTCACTGCAGATCCACAAGTGCATCCCTCACATTCTTCACCCACTTAGGGTCCATGTCTTATATGTCTTCATCTATGACTATCTGTTCAGCCACAAAATTATTCTGTGAATACTCCCAACCAGGGTTTGGATTCCAACTAACAGTCCAACATCTCTCCACAGAACAGCAAAGTGAAGGGACTCTGTTTCATGAGCTCTGCAGAGATAGTCCACACTGATCCATTTGCCCAAATGGTACCAAGAAGACAGCTGTGCAGCCTCAGGGATGGACATTTTCTACTCCCAAATAGGCTGCTTCAATGACATCATCAATCTCTCTTGCTTTTGCATGGTATAGAACCTGCACACACTGCCACTTTAGGCAAAATTGTGCAGTTTGTTTTCCTGATATAGTGGAGAAAGGACCACACAGGAACCAAGGATTTGACCCCAACATTTACTGGTTGTGTGATGTTAAAAAAAAAATGCCCTTAGGTTTTAGCCTTTATTTCTAAAATGAGAGAGTTGCATTGACAGCTTTCTAATTCCTTTCCAATTTCAGTAATAATGTCTACAGTCCACAACTTCTAAGTGTATTGTAGCTGCCAGGTGTGTCCTTAGAGTATATTAGGCCCTTTTGATTTCACAATGTGGGATTTATCATTGACTGCCTCCCTACCCTTTCCCACTGTGAATTGTATGTAATTTAGACCCTCTTTCAGCTAGATGTCTCATTGACTGTCTTCCTCCAAATATGCAGAGGCATTAGGAGATAATTTAAGTGTATTATCTTCCTATGGAAGTTTTTTGATTTGGACAGAAAACTCTTTCCACAGCAGAGGACACTGATGAAATGTTAAACTTGCATTTCTATTAAGGAAACTATAGCATTTCTATAAATAACTGACGCCCTACTCATGAGACCATAAATAGCAAATCTTTCTCTTTTCATTTCAGCAGGGAAGGTCCAGAAATTTTAACTCACTTGATCAAGGAAGTGCTACTAAACTTAGAATGAGTATGTCCTCCATCTCAACACTGTAAGGCCATTGGTCCTCTTATTGTTATCATTACACTGCAGTTTGTGATATGTGAATGACCAATCAGCACGACAATGAACTTTGTCTCCTGGAAGGTGAAGGGTACCATATCTCTGACAGAGTGTATGCATGTCACTTCAGTGTTCCTCCCAGAAAGAAAAAAAAAGGGAAAGTACCTTTCCCAATGATGCTTTGTGGTCATAACCCAAGCTAAAATTGGTGAGCTCGTACACAAAATCAACTTTTCAACAACTCAGGAGACACAATGCTGCTGAGAACACAGAGATTTTTGCAAGGGAAGGGGGCTAGGGCATGCACTGAAAGCTCAGCTTGTCAGCTCCCAAAGCCCCCGAGGTAAAGGACTTAATGCCATTCTCCTGGACTAAACTGGGCTCCACTAGATGACCTCTCATTGCCCCAGATTCAGAAAGCCCTTAGGGTGTAAGATGAACGTGATCTGTGAGAATAATAAATCCAAGCTAAATCAGGGTTCGTGAGACACAAGTAAAAGCCCCATTTTTACAGTGGACCCATACACACTGCATGACAACAGAATGGCTGAATATTGCTTGAAACTGATAGAAAGTTTTATGAAATATTTTTTAACTTTGAGATAGCTGCCTCCAGTTCAGGGAGGATTGCTATACATTCATTTTAATACAGATTAAGAAAAGCTATAATTATACATGTTGCTTGGTCCCTCACCTAATGTGTTATGTTTAACTTTGATGCCACACTTAAGACCAACAGGAACAAGGAAAAATAGATCTGGAGGAAAATCTTTAGAGCAGTAAAGAGATTTGAACCTTGTCATGTGTCCTCCCAGGACAGGGTGTGAAATGCTTAGTCCTTGGAAAAATAAAAAGGCCCCAGGTGACCTGATGCCAACCTGAAGGGCTGTCATTTTCTAGAAGAGTTGGCTTATTTAGTATAATCCCAAAGAGCAGAGCCAGCATCAGCGTGAGGGAGATGCGCAGTGGAGGGATTTGATCCAAAGGCTGAAGAGCCTCCTGAGGTCACTCAGCAGAGCAGTTCAAGCCCTTCTGTTTGTTCCCTGGAAGTGGTCCAAGCATCTGATGAGAGAATGAGCAAGGTGACCCGTACTGTCCCTTCCCACCTCAGAATCCACAGAATGCAGAAAAAAAAGCCAGGAGAAAGGGACAATAAACAGAAGCAAATGCCAGGAGGTTTTTGCTGTGTTAAACAAACCCTTCTTGTATCAGCAATGGCAGAGCATCGTTTATTCTTACAGGAGGATGTCTCATTAGATGTTGGTAACATGCACAAACTCTGCCACAGAATTACAACCATTCAGGCCTTCTCAGGGAGATCCAGGCCAGGCTTCTATTACCTATTTGTGAGTTTTACTTTCTGCTAATGAGATGCAAATGTTTTGTACTTATAACAAGAAAACTTTTCTTCTATACATAATATGTGAACTTTTCCCATGCTCCTTCTAAGTTTAAGGGTGATCATATCCCACTAGTAAATTTTATTTTTACCCGACGAGTTGAACACACATTGCATTAATGACGAATTGTGTAACTAAATTAAATGAAGAAGTATTGTGTCCTTATTTCAATCCTGTTTCTCCGTTGTTGTTAGTGTAACTTTCATTTATTAAGATGTGGCCGTCTTCAGTAGTGTGGCCATCTGTGTTGTCAATATGAAACAAAGAAAACCTGTTCCTTTAATCTTACATCCATCACCTCCCCTCCAAAAGTCTAATGATCAGTTTATTCTGCCTTGCCCAAGAGACAAGAACTGTTTTCTGATTTCAAAAGTACTCATTCTGAGAATTTTGAAGTTCAACTTTTCTCTGTAGTCCTGAGAGAAAAAAAAAATCTCTAAAATTCTGACAATAAACATCATAATCAAATGTACAGATGTCCACAGCTATTAATTAGCAAAGATGCTGAGATTATCAGAGAAAATGTCCCCTAGGTAGTTTATCTCACTATCAACTGCTTTGAAACTGTACAATGCTATCTACTAAAAAGCTGAGGACACGGGGAAAGAAGATGTCTGTCTGTAAGGGAGTAATCATTTTTTATACTACGTACTAATTCTATCCCTAGTATTTATGGAAAGGCAAAAAACAAAACAAAACAAAAAAAACTGATTTTTTTTTTTTTTTTAACAGCTCGGAGATGAACTAAGAGTTGTCAGGAAAGAAAGAAATTGGAAAAAGAATAAACAGAGCTAAAAAGACCCTGGGGACTTTTTTTTTTTTTTTTTTTGTAATCTGGTTTGGGGTTTCATGTATGTTATATTTTTACTTAAGTGCTAAAGAAAGTGATTAAGGTAGTACATATCAGATGAAGAGGTAGAAATATTCTGTTCTGGACCAATAAGAATTTTTTTTGCTGAAGTCAGAAACAGTGGCACACACCTGTAATCCCAGCACTCAGGGAGGCAGAGGCAAGTGAATCGCTGTGAGTTCAAGGCCAGCCTGATCGACTAAGTGAGTCCAGGACTGCCAAGGCTACACAGAGAAACCCTGTCTCAGGATTAAAATTTTTCTTCTTCCTTTTTTTTTTTTTTTTTCAATTATAACCAGTTCCTTTAACTCCCTCCAGAGCTTCCCAAAAGTGTTTGTTGATTGAATGAATAAATATTTTTCCCCCAGGGAGTTTAGCCCATTAAGGACTAGCAACCTCAAATTTGCTTGCCTCTCAATGACCACTATTTTTTTTAACCAGGCATAAATGAGCAGCTTATGAAAGGAGCAAGA